GCAAAAAATCCTCTAAGAAGATTGGTCCAAAAACACCCAATAAAAAAGTGCTACTAAAAACATATATATTTTTTATTTTAAAATGGCTGATATTGATTTTAGTGAACTCTTGGAGGATTGATTTGATTATTTGTAGGAACTTTTTGTAGAGAAATTCATATTCCATTTTTCTAAACATCTCTGACTATTTATTGTTATGTAAAATATAATTTTGAACGTTATACGAATTCTAGTTATTAGTTGCTGTGAACATATAACTTAATTCTTTAAAAACCATAAATCACAAATGTTTCTCATTACATAGACGCAAACAATTCATTTCGCAGAGTGTGCACGCACTTATAGGAATAAAAACGTTTTAGAATTGATTGTTTATTGAAATATTCGGTATAAAAAAATGAGAACATCTTTCACACTCAAAACACACATTCAAATCCAACAAATTTTCTCGTTTTGAGAAATATGCTCTTAGAATTCTGTATTCCTTCAACATTTTATTCCGTTACCTAAATAAATAACCTAAATTTTTCAAAAGGCACGGATGGTGGAATAATAATAAACGTGCCAGAGGAAGTTCAGAGATACCTAAAAAAAGAATAGGAAATAACTTTCTGAATTAGTTTGAACGTTGCGAGAAATATATGTTTGTCGAACCTGAAATTTGTTCTAAATTAATGATTTGATTTTGATTGTAGTTGTTAATTGAATTCAAGAGTAGTGAAAATTTAAATGTATAAATACCTACATGAAAAATTATTTTGTTTCCGAGTTACCTTCTCGTTACTATTTAGTTTCCATTTCTGATAGTATTTGTTCTCAAGTGATGTTAATAAATTTAACATTTAATTTTAGAACTGAATAACAGAGGTATGCACTTATCAGCTGACTGTGCTCCTTGAATTGATTTCTATTTTCATTCAGTTAAATTTAGAATCAATATGCGAAGAAATACTGCTGTCGGATGTTTGTTATCATTACATCAAGTTAAATTTCCTGTGTCTGAAAATACAAAATTTTAATTTAAACACGTTCTCGTATTATTACAGCTATATAAATATTTTTCTAAATTATAATTTTTAATATTATTAGCAACATGAAAGAATAATGCATTTTCATTGTTGAGCAATATTTTAAAAATAATTAAGATACAGTTCGCAATTTTCTTACAAAGTATGGTCGGGATAGTGTTTTAACATCATCAACTGTGAAGGCATTGATTGGAAAATTCAGGGAGACTGGATCAATTAGTTCAACACAAAACACCAGTTCGTGAGAGTGTTGCTGAGAGTCCAGGAACATCAATTCTGCACCGTGGTCAAGAATTGGACATTTCGACAAGCTCTCTACAACGTATTCTCACGGAAGATTTGCATCTTCATGTTTACAAAGTTCAATTGACGTGAAGTCTACAGACCGCGCAGAGCGAAAATAATTCGTTGAATGGATTATAAAATAGATGAATGCTGATAAAATCATTTTCAGCGATGAGGCTTATTTTCATCTTGATGTCTTCGTCAACTGACAAAATTGTCGCATTTGGGGTTCTGAAAATCCACGAGTAATTGTTGAGAAACAAATACATACAAAACGTGTCAATGTTTGGTGCGGATTTTGGACCAGAGACATCATCAGACCATTCTTCTTCGAAAATGCGGTTGGTCAGGTAATAACAGTTAATGGTGCTTGCTGTCGCTATATGATAATCCAGTTTTTTGTGCCAATTGCAAGATATGGCTGTAGACGACATGGTTTCAACAAGACGGTGCCACATGCCATACGCCCGAGAAACAATTCAATTGCTACTGCACGAGTCATTTTCTGGTCATTTAATTTCCCTTTTTCTTAATCAGCATTGGCCACCCAGATCATGGGATTTAATGCCGTTGGACTTTTTTCTTTAGAATTTTTTGAAGTCTAAGTTTATGCCAACAAGCCTAGGACTACCCACGCCTTGAGGGAGGAAATTGAGAGCTTAATCAACGAAATTTAACCGTATTTATGCAAAATGGTTCAATAAAAAATTTACAATGTTTAAAACTAAAAACCTCTGTTTTCTATCAAACTTACTTCTTGCGTGCATTCTTGGACACTATTTATTAGAAACAGGAGTAATATAATATATTTCAAGGTTTGCATTGTCTAGTCTATCCATAGAATTATATCTTTAGCGTTTCTAGATATTTTATATAAAAGAACACATTTATATGACTTTATTTGATGAGAATTTAGGAGAATAATAAATTAAAACTACCGGCATACTCTCCGGTTGCTTTATTCTAACTACAGACTTGGCTTTTCCTCTTGAAATAGGAAACATAGGCCATGGCCATATCCTAAAGACTTTTGCTAGGAATTCGCAAATTTAACGAAGGAACGTTAAACAGAATTTCCGTATTAATCCTGTCAAGACCCTGTTAAATTAGAGATTAGTTTCACTTGTTATTAGAATACCCTTGAGTTAGTTCAGAACTAAGAAGATAGTTATTAATTTAAAAAAGTGGTAATTAATATGTACTAATAGTCGCTTTATCCAAAATATAACAATAATTTGTTAGTTAAACATTGTTAGTTTAAAAAATGTGATGTTTAGAATATGTTATGAATATCAATTATTTTGCAGTGTTCGCATCCGAGCAAATGTTCTAAATCTCAAAAGATGGAGAAAGTCGTCTGAAAAATAGAATAGATACCCTATCAGATAGTTTACATTAGGTAGTTGCTTGCCTATTTTGTAAAGCAACGTTTACACAAGGCGAGCAACTTGCACCAAACCACTTTCATTACTTGACTCGATTCTCTAACTGGCTACGTGTAAACCGGTCTTTATTATCATTGAAAATTTTGCCAATAGAATTATTTTTTATCTCTCGTATCTCTAGTGTCAAAGATTGATTCTTTGAGTTTTTACGTCATGGTACTCTAGAAAGAACGTCTTACGACATTCATTCTTCTTAAAATAAATAACACTCATCCACTTATCGTAAGCAGAGAATAAGCCGTCTGGATTTCAACGGGTAGTCGCCGAGAAAGAGGAATTGCTGCGAAAGACATTTGTTACTGCGTTCTTAAAGCAATTACGGCGGGATAATTAAGTAGATTACTTTGGCAAATAAACGTAATTAAAATCTGACAACACGTGTTGGATTAATTGATTAACTTCGCAATGAAAAGCTCCTTCAAAAAAATTATATCTTTTTCTTTCTTTCGTCCGTGGAGTTTCTAAGAATGCCCTCTACAGCTGTTACAAATTTTAAACGGTAGAAATATAAGATACAGGGCATTTTCCATAATTGGTCGTTTTTTGTAATGCCGAATTACTTACTTTTCCTTTTTTTTTAATTTAATTTTCTCCTTTTTAGTTAGTTATTACTAGAGATTGACAGCTGGACTGGATTGTTAGGGCGCTGCAATGTGGTACAGGGTTGGCTGTAGGCCAAGTTCTTTTTTATGCAATTTTATTTAAACAAAAAGTGACACAACCGTTGACTTCTTAAAATTGCACATTACATTATAAGAATATATCTCTAATTTTCTATCATATTCAATGGATTTCACATGGAACTTACCATAAAATATATAGGTATAGTACGTATTCATAAATATCAGCAGATGTTGACAAATTAATTTCTTACTCGTAAGGAAAGCGATTGTAGAAAATAATTTACAATTTGTGTTCTGCGGTTAATCGTCTCCGGCGGGTAAATACTCATTTCAAAAACGACAATGACCGTTCGATATTTACAGAGGTCATAGGCGTATATCTAAAATAATCAATAAAATAAAAATAAATTAAAATAATAAGTTTCGAATAGATGCTATTTTTACTGATGATGACGAAGCATCAACTACTTCACATTTTAGTAATCTCACTAGCCTCTGACCTGAAGCTTCGCATCGATCATTTTAGTCGATACGTATCTAGCGGCACCTTAATGCCTGTCCTGTCGGCCAGCCGTGCCGGTGAATAACACAGGTCTTTTTGCTGGGGGACGTTGGTCGTGCATTTCAATGTCGTTTGTGCGTGTGTGAGTGAGTTTGACGCTTTGCTTGGTCGAGTGTATGGCAAGTATTTTTATGGCAGTCAGTAGTGTATCGTAAGCATACAGCGGCACATGGCGTGACCACAGATTTAGCCTATTTCCATTACTATAACGCGTATTGCAGCATTCTGACATAATATAGATTGCTGCTGTTTATTAAATCAAACAACTTATAAATTTTAGGTTTTCAATACATATCTACTGTTCATTGATATTCATATAAATTTCATGCAAACATCCTCAACATTTTCTAACGTATAATAAGTATTTTTTTCATATTTTTTACAGGTTAGTTATTAAATTATGTGTTAATATTAATATAAATATACAGGTTCGGAAAGTCCCCATGGTACATGGGCCGTTACGTGAAAGCGATAAAGTAAGTCATAGAAATCCGTGCGATAGACAAGGATGGTTACATTGAAGACGTTTCATAATCTGAATAGTCAGTCCCACTTCTAACCCGAAACGGGCGGTGACTATCCAGATTATGAAACGTCTTCACTATAGCCATCCTTGTCTATCGTACGGATTTCTTTACTTTACTTTGTCGCTCTCATGTAAAGGCAGATGGACCATGTGGATTTTCCAGCCCTGTATACCATTGTAGGAAGAACATTTTTAGTTTCAGTTAATTACATTAATGAATATGTTACCTTACTTTGTTTTCCACAATTTTTATTTAATCAGATGGCAAAAACAGAACTCATTTAACAAATTACTGTAAAATGCGTTTTTCAGTAATGTTGTTTACTACGTATATGTTCTCCTCCCCTATAATATACTTCTAGAAAACAAGCTGTTGATAAGCTTATTAAATTAACTAAAAACAATAGTGTGTACATCGGATTTAAAGCCCCCGTTTCGAGTGAATTATACATTATGGTTTTGAGCTTAAAATAAATTAATTCCCATTCTGGAGCAGTTGAGGGTTGTTAATTTTGTTTGTTGGTTTTGCAGATATGTGGAGGAGAAAAGGACAAAGGAAAATTGACGGGGACAGAAAAGCGCAAAGCAGACGATGGTGAACCTAACAAGGATCTTAAAAAGGTGAGTGTTTTGATAATAATGCACCCGCATTGTCTCACAGCGAACTAGTAAAAAGCCCCGTTAAACGACTGCTTACTTCTGTCGTAATCTGCACAAAACATTCCTTATCTCTTAATTAAAGGGTTAAAGCGCATACTTGTGTGATTCTTTCACAACGGCAAAACATTTTTGAGCATGCTGTTGCCGTCGTGTCTCTTTGTGGGGGATTTTATCAATATGCCAGCGGTAACTTCAAATTAAAAAAATAATATAAAAAAATATGGGCATTTTAAATCTTCTACGTTACGAGATCTTTTGATGAATTCTGAATGCGCAAACCCTTAAAAATTACGTAATCCAACGTGGTAATTCGAAATGAATTATTTTGTACCTCAATTTACATAAAACAGTCGAAAATACTCGTGTAATATTTAGTATATGAGTTATGCTATCTATAAATATATTCACTAGTAATAGTCTCAAATCGAACCCTGAGGAATACCGGAAAGGGCTAAAAATTCAATAGATTGAAAAGCATTCTAGACAACGAATTTGGCATGCTTGTTAACAACATCGTTAACGATACTATATAAATACAGGGTGTTTGGAAAAGTTCTTCAAAAAAGTCCAATTCATTCCAAAATTATATTATTTGATTGATAATAATTCAAAAGAATAAAACAAATTCGAAAAATTTCTGTTAAGAGTAGTTAGAAAACTATCCTTATTTATAACCGATTTTGATGAAACTGATGGTAGTTAAAGACCCTTATGGCATGATTATTACCTACAATTTTCATTCCGTTATCTCAATCAGAAAGAAAGTTATTTTAAAAAATATCCAAATGATAAGACCCCTTTGGAGGGCCATATCTCGGTAACGATGCTCTGGAGGACCAATGTTTATAGAAACTTTTTTTACTATTTTAGGCTCTACTTTCACCTCTTCAAATTTTATACCAACTTTTCCAAACACCCTGTATATCTCATTCAATTGGAAGAAGTAAGTTTTTCTGAAATTGTACTATTTGCCAAATAATATAGGATTTTTATTATTATTAACAAATAGGAGGAATGTGTTAACACTTAGCTTTAGTTTATTTGAACGAAAATTAACTGTCGAATTGTAGAGCACCCTGTTCATATTAATATTAATATATACTCGTATGTCAACCGTTGTTTTACTAAATATAAATTTTTGTATTGAAGTTCTTTATAAAAGAACGATTATAGTCATCTATGTTTAGAAGTGACGGTATTCTCGACTGGAATTTTATTTAATCAACCCTTCACAACAAACGGGACTAAACGGGACTCGCTAATTGAGTCACCTGACTGTCAGCAGGCGCTCTAACGGGCGTACGCTCCGACCAGAAATTGGACGTAATAAAAGCCATTTTATAAATTTCGTTCGAGTCATTACACATTAAAGTCATTCTCACGTCGGATATTACGTCGTCATGCGTGACTAGATGTTCGCGTGCGCAATCACAATAGCCCAAACCGAAAAACTTTTTACTCGTTCTGTTTTATTTTCTTTCTGCCATGGATAAAAAATTGCAATTGTGCTAAAGTAATTTAATGTCCTTAAAATGTAAATCGCCCAGGTAATCTACGTTTTGAAGCCGTTTCTTTGCTAACGGCGATTATTTTGAAGTATGTGTACATAGGCTTTAATGCTACAGCTGCACGCGAGAGTGGATAACGTACCTTGTTCATAACAAACCTAAATACGTTCTAGATTTCACGCAACTTTAGTAAACTTTAAAATCCACTGAAGTATGACCTACTTAAGCTTGGTTGTAATGTGTTATATGACATCAAAACGTATCTACCTGCTATTGAAAGTTGGCAAGCAAATCATTGCTCATGTTAGCTTCAACTACTCACGTGGTTCGTTGGTGTTGAAGCTTTATGTTTGGCGATACTACTATTGAATGATTATTTACTAGATATTAGGGGTGTAATTCAGTACTGGATGGGCATATAGACCGCAGGGTAACCATTAGTTAAACGATAGATACTTTATTTTAGATATGTTTGAAATTTGCGATGGAACAGCCAAACAAGTGCTTAAAGCAATTTACTTCCAACATGTCAGATTCTACAATAATTTGTTGTCAAGATTCTCTGTATTAATGGACTTTAAACAAAATCTATCCACTATGTAACCTGCTATCTTTGGTCTTAATTGGACCTCAGGGTGCGAAGTTCATTTGAAATTTAATAACAAATTGTTTTCTGTTTAAATATCCTTAATATAACTTCTGATAGTTGACACTGGACAAGAAATAAAATGGCTGACTATACCTTGAGGATCTCTCAGTCTTACAGACACAAAATATACCACCTTCGTCGTCACTTCCCTCTGAATGACGGTCGTTAGTTAGACAATAGGTCTGTCTACAGGACAGTAACTGCGCCATTGCAATCTGTTGATGGCTTGTTGATAAATTGTCTCCAAAAGTCAGGCAACCACCGACTCAATTCACTTCGTCACCGTTGAGTGGTATTATCTTCCTCCACTAACCACGTGCATTGCTAGTTGGCGACACACATTTTTTATATCGTACACATCCACAAATACATGAATATTACAGGATGGGCGTGCTACAACTATTATTCAAATATTCAACTGATCTGAACAAGTACAGGGTGTAAGAAGTATGACTGCCATTACTTCAGCATGAGATAGAGTAATCATAAATGAACAAAAAAGTATTACAGGGGTGTAAGATTAACAGTTTTCAAAATACAGCGAGTATTAATATTGGGGGGTTTCATCACGACGTGACAACAGCGCTTAACCTAACATGTGTAGCTGATGCATACCACGTGTGCACGCGGCGACTTGTCCTACGGAAAAAATGTAAACAATTATTATTATGAAACATTTAGTAAATTTCAAAACAATTGTTTTCCAGTTTTTAAATAAATAAAATAAAATGTATCGTTTTTGTAGTAGGAAGAGAGTGTTGTGCTTAAATTTTAGCTCAAATTTTAGTATGTAATTATCAAAATCTCCACCAATAACACATGATAAAAAAACAAATGATAATTTCAGGTCCCCTCAGGAAATCTGCGGTTGTCTCAAGAAGTCTCCTATACTAAATTTTATTGAAACATCTAAAAACGAGATATCTTAAAACATAGTTAAAAATATACCTGACAGGTTCTAGATTTTTTTCAAATAAACTTCACTAAGAGATACACGTATTTTGTCGTATACGAAAACTGAGATCACAATTTTTCATACTGTCTAAAATCCACTTGCTTTAATAAAAAAATAATAATATTTTATGGTTAGCGTGCATGTCTCACATCAGGTGTGCTAGATATTATCATCAATACTTCTACAAATAGTTTAATTATGCATATTTGTATGCCAAGTTGTTAATCTAATTTTATATTCAGATAAAACATCTACTATTCCACACTTTGAGTCAGATCGTTTAAACTTATACATAGGGAATGCCACCTAAACTGGGTTAACAAACAAAACAAAAGTATGAAATGACAAAAATGTTTATTTCATGCAAATCTAGAGCTAAGCGAATTTGTTTCATTTATTGTTTTTTTATGTGTTTTATTTATTTATTTTTTAAATATTGTTCATATTTTTTAAAAATTTTATTAAAAACATCTAAAACTAGCAAAATGACCAAACCGTTTCTATACAGGCAGAAATCACATATTTTTATGAACAGTGTTACTAAATTGTTTGAAAGATATTTATCTTCAATTATTTTATTTATTTTCTTCACCTTCCATAAAATTATTCTTGTCTTAAATAAGTGAAAACATATCACTCATTGAAAAAAAGGACATTTTTTGATTTGACATTTGAGTCATCATTATTTTATCGTATAAAGGATACAAGTTAAGTTTAAGTTTTTACACATTCAAGCGTATTGAATGTAGGTACTCAAAAAACTATTTTTAAGAATTTCAGCCTGAACACCATGTATCTCGAAAAGTCAATATTGTCTAACTATTATTTATGGGATCTTTTTCTTTTAAATAGTTCTATCGCAATATGGCCCATACAATCAGATCATGAGTGTTTATAATATTTTCCTTTGCAAGATAAAATAGGTGCAGTATATCTTTCTAATAATATGTTACACTATTTGCCAAATATTATTAAATGTCTTAAGTTGATCAGTTGATTTCACAGACAAAATTCAATTTGTTAGGAACAAATTGTATTTATATTGCCTCTAATCTTATTTATATTGTAAATACATTCTTTTTGGTTCACTTTAATTCTGCGAGACTGTGAAAAAATAGTGAAATCACGATTTACGTATCCTTTGTCTATGTCGATATACCACGAACAATACTGTAATCGGTAACGACAAAGTAAAACATCCATTCTATGTAGAATTTCAATGGACACAATTCCACTCTCCAGCGCTGAAAGTAATCTGATAATACAAAAATGTTGCAGAGAATTGAAGGTAGTTTATTTAACAACTGAGGCAGAATCCTAATAATTACTTTTAATTATTATAGGGCTGAAAATTTTGGCAATTATTTGCGATTTTCTTGGGTGAGAGCTGAAACTTTTGGCCGTTAATTAATATAAATGGAGGGAACGGACTTTTGATGCCGCGCTCGCTTGGAATTTGGGGAAATAAATTTTCTTATTACACTAAGCAGTTTTAACTAAAACAATGTTAATTGTGTTGCATTAGGATAGTTTTCGTGATTGTAGGCCCCATTTACAATAAAGAAGGTATTAAATAAATTAACAAGGTGCTTTTAACGTCAGATTTAGTCCTATAGTTTGCCTTATTTATTCCTACACTCATTAAGGCCATTACGCGATACTCCTACGTATTTATAATATAGTAATATATTTCCTTAGTTAAATTTCTGGCTCTCCATTTCCATTTTCATGAGTATAATTATTAATAAGCTGCGCTTTATCAAAATTTAATCCCACTTACAAATATTTCTGAGGATTCAACGTCTTGTGCTGAGGTACATAATTTCTACAAGTATGAATTTAATCTTGT